GAGGCTCCCACATTTTCTAGATAGTCGGTCCACAGATGGTGGTGAGGTGAGCCTTACGCGCCGGCCGCTATTTACCCCCAGGAAGTTTCCTTGTACTCAATTAATGTAAACTGTTCAAGCGGATTCATTTTATGTCCTAAATCACTGACCAAGTTGGCTCAAGCAATAACGCTTTTGACTTGTATTCGGAATATGCCCGGTTCAAATCTCGATCGGCACATGACTGTCCTGCGTGAGGATATTCGTGGTTTCCTCTCCATTTAGACACGTTCTGCGAGATCTGCACAAATCAGGCTACGACTGTTTCCTTCCGCACCCTTTCCACTACGCCCTTCACTAATTCTACCAACAGAAACCAGTACATCTGTGCTGTTGTCACAGACCTTCGTAGCTCACTTCAGTTCCCCCGAATCATTCATGTGTCTTCATTAACCGAAAGTTGTTCCCTGGTATATCGTTTCTCGTTTAATCACCGCTCAGTTAGCAAGTTTTGGCCTTTATGCGTTTTGGAAAGCTACAGCCTACATCCCTCGCGGTCTGAGGCATGAAATGTCTTCGCCCGCTCGAACACTGGGTACGTGGGTCCGAATCCCACTCAGACATGGATGTCTGTTTGTGTTCATTTTGCGAAGGGCTGATCCTCCTTCCAAGGAGACCTACCGGCTGTGAAAGATTAAGAAACTGAAGTGAAACGAAGCGTTTCACGGATGCCCTATGCTCCAACTGGGAGCAACAGAAATAGAAGAAGAAGAAGAAGAAGAAAGACTACGGCAAGTTCTGAGATCCATAAACTCATTAATTCTCTTCGGAATAAGGAAGAATTGTCTCAGAATTGGAATGAGTTCATTATTGTACTGGTTTGCAAGAAGGGCGATAACATGAACTGTTGGTTGAAGCATTATGCTACAAGCTAGAAGTTCGCGGGATCGAATCCCGATGAGGTGGATTTTTGTCAGTTTACCTAATCCTTCCAGCCGCACTATGGCCGTGGGGTCGACTCAGCCTCTAATAAAAATGAGTACCAGGAATATTCTTGGCGGTAAAAGGCGACCGGCGCCTAAGGCTGACAACCTTACCGCCATCTGTGAGCCGGTTGTCTAGAAAATGTGGGAACCTCAACATCTCACAACCCTATGGGCCTCCACGGCCTGTTACAGGGATACCTTTACTTACTTACTTTACTTTATTTCCAAGGAATTTCACGTTATCAGCTTCATACAAAGTTTTATCCAATGTCCTTCTATCAAGGTTGAGTCCATATGCAGACGGAATTCTTGGGGGTCATCATTATAGGTTTCGATGTAACAGATCAGAACTGGTGAAGGATTTTCTTTCTCATTCCCCAGATCCTGGAGACAAGAATGGCCGTACAATGAGACAGCGCTTTCTTGAAGTCTCTGATTCAGTTAGGAAAGAATTCTTCTCATTGTCTGGCGCTACAGCCTTTCTTAAACCTTGGCTTCCTTGATAACAGCCTTCCAACTGTTGGGGGTCTTTGGAGTCTTGTGCCTTCTTCCACCAAGCTGTCACTGTAAATGTAAGATCTTGCAATACATCAGTCAGCCACCTTATTTTTGGTCTTCCTTTCTTTCTACTGCCTTCTGGTTGGGAGAAGGTTAATTTCTTGTAGAGCAAACTTTCATCCATCCTTCTGATATGCTCTAGCCACTTCAGCCTGTTTATTTTTATTGACTGCACTATATTTGTTTCTTTGAATGATTAATGTAATTCGTTATTATTTTATTCTCCATACTCCATTTACATAGCTTGGGCAATTGATCTTCCTTAGAATTTTTCTTTAAAAAATTTTCAGTTTACCTTCATTCAATTTAGTGAGTACTGTCATAAAGTACAACACTTTTATAGTACAGCATTCTCATTTAGTTCGGTGTACCCATGAAACTAGTGAGGCTTACTAAAATGTGTTTAAATTTAACCGATATTAACGTGGTATAGGTAAACATTTGTGTGATACATTTCCTATTCAGAATGATCTGAAACAAGGAGACGCTATGGTCACTGCTTTTCAACATTGCTCCCCACCCGGCATTACAGCCCCAGTGGGCCTAGGCCTACCTCCATGAACTTCTCCGTTCACTTCGGTTTTTCTAGATCTTACACATTCGGTAGGACTCCTTGGGCGGGTGATCAGCTCATCGCAAGGCCTCTACTTGTACACAGAAAAACCCACACACACAAACTAAACATCCATGCCCCGAGCGGGATTCGAACCCACGATCCCGGTTTCCAAACGAGCGAAGACAGTACATGCCTTAGACCGCTCGGCTACCGTGACCGGCTCAGCATTGCTTTAGCATACACAATTAAGAAGGTCAGAGAGAACCGTGTGGGGTTGAAATTGAATGGGACATGCCAGTTTCTGGTAACCGATAATGATGTAAATTTATTGGTAAATGACATAAATCTATGTATGCATGGCTCTACAACCCTTGTGGACCTTTGCCGCTTTTTCGGTTTCTTAATCTATACGCAGTCGGTAGGACTCCTTAGACAGAGGACCAGCCCGTCGCAAGGCCGCTATCTACACACAGAACAAACGCTCACAGACTTCCATGCCTCGAATGGGATTCGAACCCACAATCCCAGTATTCGAGCGGGCGAAGATAGACTGCTCGGCGTCTGTAATCAGTAGATAACATAAATACCACAAGGAAAAACACAAACGCTCCAGTTGACGCTAAATACGCATGGCGTGTCCCCCATGTGAGCTACAGTATGCAGAGTACAGTAACAACTCTGCATGTCCTTGATTTATCCTAATGGATGCCACCGTTTCCCCAAGAATTGTCGAAAATACTCCTACGGTTACATCCAGGCACAGTTTCGGCAAGTAGTTGCATTCGGCAAACACTGACAAAGGTGTATATGTTGGATTCCTCTGTCATTAATCATTAATACACACTAACTTTTAGGGGGCACGCGGTAGCGTAGTTGGTTGAGGCACTATGCTACAAGCCGGAAGGTCGCGGGTTCAAGTCACGGTGAGGTCATTGGATTTTTTTTTCCAATTGACCTAATCCAGCCGCACTGTGGCCCTGGAGTCGACTCAGCCTCTAAAAGAAATGAGTACCAGGAATATTCTTCCTTGCCGCCATCTGTAAGCCGATTGTTCAGAAAATGTGGGACCCTCAACATCTCACAACCCTTTGGGCCTCCATGGCCTGTTACAGGGATACCTTTACTTTTTTTTTTACATACTAACTTCTAAGTGTGTGTGTGTGTGTGTGTGTGTGTGTGTGTGTGTGGGCGGGGATGTCGCTCAAATTAGTGTATGAGTGTCTCTGTTATCACAAGAATGAAAACCCCTCCTATAGCTGATATGTATAAATTATTAAGTTCCTTGTTACGTAATGCTCCACATCACACCCACATATACGCAGCAGGCTTTAAGTTATGCAAGATACGGAATGTCACATTGTCAGCTGCGGTTGCTACGTCATTGTTCGCGGGCGCGTTTTGGCGCTACTGTAAGTGACTAGCCTAAACAGGTCTGTTTACTGTTCAGCCGGAAGGGGGAGTGGGCGCGGACGCGAATTGAATGGTCACCACCCACGCCACTGTTCGCGTTCATTGTATGGGCTTTATAAAGATAGGGTAACTAGGTCAACGCCCGGCCCACGTGCGCCTTAATTTCAACGTGTGAAATGACGAAACTCAATATATCTACTGTACTTGTGGAAGCCGGTGTAGCTCAGAAAAGTTATATGCTACGTGCCTGACGATCGAGATTCGATACTCGGCAGGGGCAGGGATTGTTCTCTTCTTCACCATTACTATATGGGCGCTGAAGTACACCTAACCTCCTTTTGAGTTGTTACACGGTGCTTTTCACCGGTGATAAAGTGACAAGAGTGTGAAGCTGCCCTCTAACTATCTTAGTACCCAGTGGCGGCTCGTAGCTAAAATTAGTGGGGGTGCTGCTCCAGAAGCGCACAGTTCCATACAAAGATTTGGCTACTGACATTAAGCTTAAGGATTATATATTGTATTGTACAAGTACAAAGAAAGAATTAAAGAAAAAAGGACTAATTATATAAATGTTATCGATAATATCATGTGGAAATTGGGGGTGCTGCCAGTTCCGCAGTGCCTATACACGGGCCGCCCCTGCTAGTACCGCTATTACGAAAACATGGTTTGTTGCCTTGACCGCCTCTGTGGTCTAGTGGTCAGAGTTCCTGGCTACAGATCCAGAGGTTCTGAGTTCGATTCCCGGCGCTACCAGATCTTCTGAGAAGTAGTGGGTCTGGAACGGGATCCACTCAGCCTCGTGAGGATAGTTGAGGATCTACTCGAATGGAAAAGTAGCGGCTCCGGTCTAGATAACCGAAACTAACGGCCATGGGGATTCGTTGCGCTCACCACGCGACACCCTTTATCCACTAAAGTTGGCACTAACTTCGCCGACAAGCGGCGGTCACTCGGTCAGTATAGCAGACTAAAACCACGGAGTTTTTTTTAAGGGCATTGTTGAGGGAGCACGATCTGGAGACGACCAGAGCAATCTCTGGGGCTAACCCAACCGTATTTGCAATGGTCGCCTGGAATTCGTGCTTCGATGGTAAAGTCGATCCGAGTTCAGTACTCTCATCCAATGTTGTGGTCTAGAACGGTGGTTCACAAGCTTTGTGACACCGCGGCCCGGTACAATTGATGCCAGGACCCGACGGTTGAGAAACACTGGTCTAGAATGAATATGTGCTCTTTCATGGCATAGTGCTTAGGCATGGATCCGACGGTACTGCTGTTTCTTGGTGGTTCAGTTTCGGATAGAATAAGGAATGCTATAGATGTGACACCGTTACCCTCCGATAGGAATTTCTCGACGTTTCAGAGTCACGGACTACCTCCGCTTGTTGCTTGCTTAGCTTATTCTGCGACCCTGAAAATGGAGACAGGGGTTTTCTCCGAAACGTCGATACAATTCTACCAGACAACCAGAAGAATAAGTACTGAGAACTGTGTATATGTTGTTGCAGACATTGTCCGTCCAGCCTGGTGGCGCCATTGACAAGGATCGTCATCGACGAGGTTAAGGCCGCCTGCAAGAAGCAACCCGCAGCATGCGGTTACCGCTCAGCCGAGAACAGTAAGTAGGGGAACCCCACGTTGAACACATTTTTTCAGTTATTTTGATAGGCGTAGTCTTTGCAACTGGAGGTTAGTAGCCGTGTTTATACTTTATCCCATCATAATGGGAGATAGGATTTGAGGTTCTCACAGCGGTGGTTGTGGAGGAACTTGTCGCCACCGTCTTCAAGATCGAAGAATAAACCGAGCAAGAAATCACCGTGGAAAGGGGGTGGCAATCCTCCGAAACATCGGTTGACTTTCAGCGGACTACACGGCGTTATATCCAAGAAGATAAAACCTTTCATATTTTGAAATAGTTTATGTGGTAAGCAACTCGATGTTACAGTCTTTCTTCAGTAGCTGATAGTTGCTGACCTGGCCGAGAAATTCTCTCCGCGTATAGAATCATAAACATGTTCATAAAAGCCGACCATTGGGCCCTACCCTAAGTGAAATGAACCCATCTTGGGTCTTTACACGTTTTTTTAGGATCCATTTTAATATCGCCATCTCCGCGTAGGTCTCCCAAAATGTCTCTTGCCGTCGGTTTATGGCGAAAATATTGTGTGCATTTCTAAGTTCTCTCATGCATGTTGCATGTTACGCCCATTTCATACTTCTTGATTTATGGGACACAAGCGGCGTTGAAGGAATTCCTATGACTGTGCTAACAAAACAAGCAAACAAACTCCGTGGTTTTAGTCCGCAAGCGAACTGTACCGACCAAGCGACCGCCGCTTGTCGGCGAAGTTAGTGCCAACTTTAGTGGATAGAGGGTGTCGCGTGGTCAGCGCAACGAATCTCCAC